AAAAATAATGTCAATATTTAAACTGACACTTTCACAGTACATTGTTTTATAGTTTGAACCTTATTATTTTTTATTTTTTTGCCAACTTGCCGCAAATGCCCTGAACTTCTCTAATCAAAAGCCCGTAGCTCATAGTCCGTAGTCCGTTGTCCGTAGTCCGAAGCCCGTGGCCCGGTTTCAACGTAAGTGGATTGTTGGCCAGAATGGTGGCCCGATGTCCGTAATTCGCTAGGACGGAGTATTCCGGGAGTGCGTGTGTGCTGTGCTCAACTTGGGCATTCCGGAGCTCCTGGTTCTGGTCGTTGGTCACTGCTTTTCGTCCTGGCCAAAACTGAAGTCCTGACCAGTGAGCCGTCCCACTTGGCTTTGGGTGTTGTGAGCTCCTTTCGGCTCCTCTCTTGTTTTTCCCTTCTGAATTTTTCTTTTTCTTTCTACCAATTTTTGCGTGCGGCATGCAAAAGGGCAGTCGGAAAACTGTGGCAACTGAACTGAAAATAGCTAAACACCAGGGGGCGTGCCGCCCGCATGCCACAAAAATTTTGAAAATTCAAGAACACACGGTACTCTACGAACTTACCAGCTGCAATTTAAGCTCAGAATATGCTTTTTAATCGGAAAAAATGTTTCCTTTACTTTTAATGTGAGTAAGGTAGACGACAATATTTGTTTATAGGTTTAATAGTGTACCTAATTAATGAAAAGTTGAAAGGTATAGTTTAAAATATTGAAAAATATTTAAAACAATTTGTTAGATGTACCTTTTGAGAATTTTCAAAGTTTTCTGGTGCAGAGGCTAACCGGTTAACCGGCTAAAAAGCGTTAAGAGCACACAGCACTCGCAAAATTTATTACACACACTGCAAGCGCACTTTTATTTCATTTCGGTCGATGGACGCCCTTTACGGCCAACGCGAGGAGCGAATTTAGTGCAGCCGGCGCAGACAGGACCTTCCTTCAAAGGAGGCAGACACACACACACCCACATGACAACCATTAGGCTGGAAATTAAATTTTTTATTGGGGAAAAAGGCACAGCCCGACCATAAAAGGATCTGTGTGCCCGCGAAGAGGCTGCAAAATTTCAAATTTATATCAATTGCGGTTTCTCATTGAACGTTGTACGTCGTACGTTCTCCTCCTCTCAGGCAAACGAGTCAAAGTTAATTGAATTTCCACAGGTGAGGCGGCTGTGCGGGTGTGAGCACTTCCGCCTCTGCACGGGGCTTTAATTATGCAGGTGCCACATGAGCTGCAGGCGAACTTGATCCGGCCATCGAACTCAATCAATTCGAACCGGAGATTAAGGCACAAAAAAAACTAGGACGATGTCACATAACCCAATGAATATATTTTTTAAAATATATACAAGTTTTTGTGGCTATTCTAGGGAATAAAAAGAATTAAATATAATTAAATAATTATATTCATTCTTAATAATTCTGTACATTAGCTTAGCACTGTCTAATATATAAATAGGTTAACGTTTTTATAGCCATTATAAAAAGAACAATCGATCTGCATTAAAAATAAAGATGTACCGTGTTGCAATTTCTCATTTATTTTCAAAGTTCTGGATCATTTTGCAGTTTATTAAAAGAAAATTGTTTCGATTGCTTAAATAGTTGTTAAAAAGAAGATTTCAAGAAAAGTCTTTTAGGCATATGATATATATATTAAATAATTTCAAGCTTTCTAATGCAAACTTGGAAACAACAAATCATTAGGTATATATCTAATTTTAAAAGCCACTAAAAATGTCCAAGATCTTTAGAATAAATATAAATTTAAATTAAAACAAGAGAGAACGCTATAGTCGGGTGCCCCGACTATCAGATACCCGTTACTCAGGTAAAGGGAGTGCGAGGGAGATGGAGATAGAAACTTTGATCACGCATAACTTTTTAATGAATGGTCCGATTTGAAAAATTTCTTCTACATTTCGATAGGTATTGATAAACACAATAAAACTGCATTTTTACTTTTCCGAAATATTTAAATTTTTAAAATCGTATATAAGCGATTGTGGGCGTTAAATGGGGCGTGGCACCTTTTTGAAACAAACTTGCGCTGCGTAGGAACTCCTAGAATCTGCATGCAAAATGCCAATCTCTTAGCTTTTATAGTTTCCGAGATCTCAGCGTTCATACGGACGGACAGACGGACAGACAGACAGACGGACAGACGGACATGGCTATATCGACTCGGCTAGTGACCCTGATCAAGAATATATATACTTTATAGGGTCGGAAACGCTTCCTTCTAGCTGTTACATACTTTTGCACGAATACATTATACCCTTTTACTCTACGAGTAACGGGTATAAATACTAAAGTGATGATCGCAGCTGTATGTCTGCGTCTTTTACATAGACAAGCCACGAATCGCTTACCGCTTTGGTTAATCACTTCTCAATCGTCAGCCAGAGGCAACACTCCAGGGACACAATTATCCTAATCCCGTCGTTTCGAGTTGCCATCCTTCGGCTGAAATCCTGCTGGCTGGCAATGGCAATGGCAATGCCATTTCCATTCCCATTCCCATTCGCATTCGCATTGCGAAACCCAACCCGTTTGGAAATGGAGGAAATGTAAGTGCAAAGTGGATTCCTTGACGGCAGCCTCGGGGGTTGCATCGCGTCATCGAGCTGCAGTCAAATAGCAGTAAACTTCAACTGTCCTCTCGTCCTTGTCATCCTGCTCACCCCCCACCCACCACCCATCCACTTCTTACCCCTCGTCTGTGGGTTATTTGGGCGAGGGCAATGGCAACCGGATGCGGAACCAATTTAACGACGCCATTTCCGCGCACAGGCGACCAAACGTCAGCCAGGCAACTGCAGAATCTCTGCGGCGACCATTGGCATCATGGATGTGGCAGGACCTCCTTCCCCTTCCTGTCTGCCACCTAGGATCCCCGACTCCCTTGCTCCATTACTCCAGTACTCCCTTGCTCCCTGACTCCCTGGCTGGCTGGTGTTGCCATGCCCCACGGCTACACGTCGCTGCTATTTTTGGTTGCCATTATTGATTTCCAAAATAAGCTCCACGCCAGTCCCCACAATTTTAATAGCACAAACGGGTCATTAAAAATATAGCAAATTGAATTATGCTCAAATGGCAATTTTTCTGCATTTTGGTTTGGAAAAATTTTAATAAAATCATTCAACAAATGAAAATACTGTTTATTGAATTGGACTTATTAATTTGAAATTTTAAATTGACGAGTTTGTTTTATTAAGCAAAATAATTGGAGGAACATTTAAATATGATAAACGAATAATTTTTCTATAATTTGATTCATTTCATTTTGAAGAATCATTTTACTGGATTTAATAATGAAAACGGCGTTCATACTTTTAATATAGTACAATTGAACAACTTATTTGAAAAAAGGAATTATTTTAGTAAAGCCAATCCCAAACCATTTATTAAAATAAAATGCAATTAAATTGTTGCTAGCCAAATCAGTTATCGGAGTTTCTTGGTTCAACCCATTTATTTCCTTTTTGTGACAGTTGAAATATCGAATTTTATGTTAGGCTTCAACAATTTAATCAAAGAGTACACATACAACAAAATTATATGAACAAAGTCAAATTTATTCCTGTGGAATTTGGCATTGGAAACTTTTTAGTTATTATGTGTGCACATTCAACACGTCTCTTTTAATTTATGAAATAACGTTTGTGACATTTTATTGCTTTTCCTGTAGGTTTTTCGCTTGTTTATTTTCATGAATAAATATCTTACTCCACGTATTAAATGTAAGCCACAAGGGTGTTTTTATTTCCAATCCTATTTATTTTGTTAAATAAACACGTCTGTTTTAATTTAAGATATTTATTTATTGTTTTTAATTAAGGTTAAGCGTTTGTTGTACTTCTATTTAATGTACAAATAATTGATGATATTTGAATTTAATAAGCAGGTTTGTATTACATTTTCCAAAGCAAACTTTTCGTTCTTGCCCAACTCAGATGTTTTCTTCGCCAGTAATAAATAACTTACTTTACGCATTTGCAGGTTGTACTGAATTAAATTTGAAACCCCATCAGGATCCCCATTTCCTGGGCCCCAACCGCAGCGCTGTCTATTTCCGCTTGTGGATGCGATGCGCATTTATTACTCGGTTTCGCCCGATATCAGCGACCGACTTGACTTGGCCGCAATCGTTTAAGCCGTTTGAGCCAGCCGCAAGCAAACCGAGAGCAATCCCCCAAATTGCCGCCAAAGAACATTGCCAGTAACTGCCACATGCCACACACACACACACACACACATATATATATATATATTTCGATATAGATATATATACGTATATATGGGGCGGGGTGGGAGAGGTCCCATAACAAAGGACCTTGGCAAGCTGCTGGCATCCAATTGAATACAGCATCAATTCAGACCGACCGGCGATGACATCCCAAACAAAAGGGGCGTCGGAAAAGTGGAAAAGCGGAAAAGCAGAAATGAAATGAATTATGTTAAGCATGCAAATTTGAATAAAAACAAACAAAAAAGTGACAAGGGAAAAAGAAACTGCAAACAGGATACGAACAGAAAGGAGAGGGCACATAACTGGCAAGGACATCGACATGGACATGGAAACGGACTCCTGTCCCACAAAAAATCAACTGCCAATTGCAATTTGCCAGGCCGTGTAAATAAATAATTTTAAAACACTGAGCAAAGTACAAAAATACTGTGATACGATGGCAATTCTCAATCAAATTAACATGCAACAAAATTTAACACAAAAAATAGACCACAATTTAACATAAACTAAAGGTGTCAATCAAATTTAAAATGAAGTACATTGATGAAAACATTTTTTTGAATATGAAAATAGAAAACTTGTTTTTTTTTAATTTTAAACATATAAAAAATAATTACCTTTTAAAATTATTTAAGCTAACGTCATGGGAAGCGTCTTTAAATTTCTAGCAAATGTCCCAAATTGATCACCTCTTTTTTGTGTCTGTTGCCTTTGTTTTGGATGTCAGTAAGTTCAAAATTCCCAGGAAATAAAGTTGAACCTAGTAAAGATGCCCCCCATTTGATCGTTATGGAAACGCAAGACACCACTTCATTGTCAGATCTCGACCAGATGTCGCTGAAATCCCTGGGGATCGGAGTGGCTGGAAAACATGAAATCAGAATGGAAAGCGATATCGAAGTCGAGTCCTGCGACTGGCAGTTGCTTTTCCACTCGATCCAGCAAAAGATTCGCAGGAAGTCCGATCTGTTGATAGCTCTAACCCACTTTCTGGTCACCCAGGAGTACCGCCTGCGGAACACCACCAATTCTACCGATTCCGGAGGAAGTACCAGTGAATTGCTGCCCAGTAACTGGAATCGGGATGCCCACAGATACACACTGCACTACATCGATCAGCTGGGCAGTCAATATGTCCTGTTGGCCAAGCTGAGTCGCAAGGATCTGGTGATCAGCCTGCAGAACTCGACGAGCAAACGAATGTCCATCGCCTGTTTGCAGCCCGAGAATATCGTAAGATCTACCAGTAAATCCTATTTGGAGAAGTGCATACCGAAGACGGAGAAGATTATAGATCGCCTGCGTTGCAATCTGGTGGATCCGGTGGTTCGCGGCACCAAAAGAACGGCCGAGGCACCGTTTTTCGCTCAGAGAATTCACGAAAAGAAGAAGCTACTCCTCCGGAATCCACCGCCCTTGCGAGTAACCTTCAACCTCATCGAGAGCACCCATGCATCCGTGGGCAGTGACGAGACCACTTAGAAGTGCTTCTGTTTTATTTAAATAGAGATATCCCATTGGAGGAAATAATTTTATTTAAAGGATAAATAAAATATAGTTTTTAACACATATAAATGCATTTTCTTATTCGGGGAGAAATCTTGGTTCTTGTAAATAGAACTAAGCAATTATAGAAAAAAGAAAAAAAGGGTATTTTCAACCAGGAATTGAACCTTGGCCTGAAAGTCTATGAGGTTGAAGCCTAAGCAGCTGATATACTGAGTCGGGCTTGGCCCCAAAATCTAGTGGAGTACTTCAAACTAAAAATATTAAACCTAGAGGTAAACAAACATTTTTTTTTTTTAAAGTAGGTCAGAGGTTCAAGTAGGACCCTAGGATCCTGTCACATCGCCGCCGGCGGCAGCGGTGAGAGTAGTGCGATGGCTCTCCTATTAGAAATAGTGCTGCCGGTCCGGGTTCGAATCCCGGTATGATATAAGAAGCATGGTACACAAGCAGACGACAGGAACCTACGATCCCGATCCAAAATCCAAAATCCCAAATCCAAATCAAAATCCATTCCATGTTCAGAGAGCGGGCGGGTAAAGAAACTTCAATAGGATTAAGTGAAAAGTTGAATTTGTACGAAATATATAATCAAAATAATGTTACCCAAAAATAAAATTTAAATTTTTACACTTATTTTAATATATTTTACGACGGTATAATACACATGTAATTACTCATACGCAATTTGGGACTACTTAAAATGTACCATTCTTCAAAACTGCTGTACATATCGTTTGATTGATCAGAGTACAATAGTTTTGAAGAATGGCACATTTTTGGTAGTCCAACATTGCGTATGAGTAATAAAAAAGTTTTAAAGAAGTCAATTATAGCTCATACGCAATGTGGTACAGGGTATTATTACTCATACGCAATGTAGGAACACCTACAAATGTACCATTCTTCAAAACTATTGTACATATCGTTTGTAGGATCAGACTACAATAGTTTTGAAGAATGGTACATTTTTGGTAGTTCACCATTGCGTATGAGTAATAAAAAAGTATTAAGGAAGAAGTCATTTATAGCTCATACGCAATGTGGTACAGGGCATTATTACTCATACGCAATGTAGGAACACCTACAAATGTACCATTCTTCAAAACTATTATACATATCGTTTGTAGGATCAGACTACAATAGTTTTGAAGAATGGTACATTTTTGGCAGTCCACCGTTGCGTATGAGTAATAAAAAAGTTTAAAATAAGGAGTCAATTATAGCTCATACGCAAGGTGGTACAGGGCATTAGAGAGTCGACATCCTGTTTGATTTCATAACTGCGGTTGGTCGTTTTCGGTTCGGTTTTTGGTTTTTTTTGCCGTTCTCGTTCAGTCACGGATTGTTGTCATTATTGTTGCTCCTCGCGCGCTTTGCCCCGCATTTATTATTTATTGTATTAATAATGCAGTCGCGTTGAAAATTTCATAATGTCCGGCAATGTCATTGAGGCAGTCAGCAGTTGTCCAGCAATCGCTTCGGCTCTCCTTTTTTCGTTGTGTTTCAATTTTTGTCGCATATCTGCGGATGTATTATTGGATGTTGACACTTTTGTTGTTGATGCAGCTGTGGTTGCGGCAAAGTTGACGTTGATGTGGATGCTGATGGCTGGTTTGGTTCGGTTTGGTCGGATGGAACCGACGAAACCGCAGAAAACAAAACCAAACCACCTCCGTTTTATCCAGTGAAATTAAAACCACTGCGTAATGGAATATGAATATCACATTAAATTTTAGTGGCTAGAAATGTATTTCTCATCCAATGAGTGTGACGAAGACCTAAAGATAAACAAGCTCAACTTTTGCGTTTAATAGTGTACAATGTAATCTAGATATAAGCCCGTTGATTAGAGTGAACCTTGTCCGAGATATTTTAAAATTTTCGTCGCGCCAAATTTATAAAGTTTTCTTAAAATAGATAAACCTTGTTTCGATCTGTTTCGAATTAAAAAACCTATGATTTCTTAACAAATTTTCTGCCTTGTGCATTTTTGTTTAGCATTTAATAACAACAAAACACTAAAAACCATAAATACATTTCCTATAATATTTGTTTCTTTGTTGCTTAAATAAATTAATAATTATCTTCTATGATTTATAGCTTTCATTGGGTTCATCCTATTGTGTGTCTGTGTGAGTGTTGCAGCATCATCATAAAATTCAATTAAAGCGAAACGCACACAATCAAACAAAAGATCAAATTAAATGCCGAGCTGGGCTAGCAATTTACTTCGCTGATGTAAGAGGGCGTGGCAGCTAACCCACAGAAAAGCACATGTGTGTTGGCTGGTTTCCATGGGAGATTATACACAGGGAAAATATCCTGACTTGTAGAAAGGTGATAATTAAAATACTCACCATAAAGTATACAGGCCTTAATTGTAATTATATATTTATTTATTTTAGTTAAGAGATATCTAATACTTTTAAAGTTGAAATGAATTTTAATTATATTTAACATTCTCTCAGTGTACCCATACGTATATATGTATGCGTGTGGAATAGACAACGGCACGCATTGCGGTTTAACGCGCTTTTCATTACTTGGCGGGGATGAAGGAGGCTGAATGGCTGCCAAAGAAACATCAAAGGAGGTGGCCACATAGACGTGGAAGGACATGAGCAAGAACAAGAACAAGGACAAGTTGCTGCGGTATTTTTACGACCATTTCAGTTTCGTAATGGCAATCGAAAAGCTTGTACAACCGCACACAAAGCCAAATGGGCGAAAGGGAGTGCACCGAAAATCGTATAAAAGTCATTGGGACTTAGTTAAGCCAGCGATATTAACAAATGCCAAGAATGAGGCTGCCAACAAAAAAAAAGCCAGGGAATGGAAATGGTAATAAACCAAGCCAGTCACAAAAGCGAGTAACACTAAAGTCCACATGTCACAGTGGACATTTGCGGCAGACCGGAAAACCCAAACCAAAAACCTTAAGCCAAGAACAAATTTGCATTTTATACTAGAGTAAAGATTAAGAAAAGAGAACTTTAATGTAAAATGTATATAAATAATAACAAATATAAGCTTTCTTTAAGAAATAAATTGTGAAGAAAAAAGCTTTTATCCTTGTAATAATATGGCAATCTCCTTGAAACTATGATTGATTACATTTTTGTAAGCGTGCAAATCAAATAAGTACAATTGGTGATGAAAAAAGATTATAAATATGTGTATTCAATTTTTTGGGCATGCAAATCAAATAATAATTTAAATAATGTTTAATTGAATCCATGATGGTTATCAATGAAGTAGAATTTGAAAACCGCGCGGCCAGCAATCAATTTCCATTCTGGTAAAGTGTTCGATGCGTTTAATCAATAAGTTCGTCGCCGAATGCAATCCATCCATCACCGCCAATCAGCCGGGAAATGGCTGACCACAATCCAGTGTCCATTGGCCATTGTCTGGATAGCCAAACCGAGGTGATGGCGGCGATGACACGGGTTTCTACTTTATTGAGCACCCCTCCCCCCAGCGAGTTCTTAACCCATGAAAGCCCCATTGGCGCCATCTTGCGTGCAGGCAATTACAAAGTTTTGGGCGCTGCATTTAATTAGGTACGGCAGCAATAGGCCATCAGGCATCAGCATTTGGTATAGTCGCGGGACAATGTACCAAACTAATAGCTGACCGCTCGGGGCGACCTTTAGCCAGCGACAGGGGGCAATGGAGGGTTAAGGGTAGTGGGTAATGGGTAATGGGTAATGGGTACTGGGTAATGGGGCACGGACCCAACGAGCCGCTTAATTGAATGCCCACGGCGCAAAGTGAAAAAACCACGAAAAACAGACTGAAAAACAAGTGAACATATTTAACTATGCAAAATCGACTCATAAATTACCTTTACTTAAACTTTCACTACATTTGAAGAATATTTCAGGGTGTTTTAAATGACTGGGTAAAATAAAATTTAAAAATTATATATTTATATATTTATTTATGTTATTAGTAACATTAATATATAACAAGGTATTTGTTTCCTCTAAAAAATATAAGCAACTTGTTTTTTATGTATTTGTCAAAGATGATTCTTAAAAACCAATTTCTTTAAAATAAGAGTAAGAGCTATAAGATTTTAAATCTAAAAACAACAGTTTAATATTTATTAAATGGCCAATAGAAGGCAATATACCCCTCTGGTGAGCTGCAAAACACGTAAAGGAAACTGGAGAAAAGCAAAAATTATACATTGTATTATCGGCTGCTGAACCAGAGGGAGAAAATGGGGAAGGATGTTGTCCCAAGCATTTGGCTTCGACTTTGGCTTTTTCCCGCCGGCTGTTTGTTAATGGCAAAGCTCAAGCAAATTTTCATGTTGGCTTAGACAAAACGGCCCAGCTGCACCGCCGCCACAGAAATTGGCCTTTTTATTGTGTAACTCGCCATGGCGGCGAAGGACCTCCTTTTTGCCCCAGCTCCTTAATTTCAAAAGCGGCGACCACAAGCCGCCGCGCAGAATGGCACCTTCTGCACTCACTCCACTCGCTTCTACACAGAGAGAAATCGAGCGTAACAAATATATAAAATAAATATTTTGACTTAATTTTGTTAGAAAATAAATTGCGGATATTCTTACATTAACCAACAGGAAAAATCTAACTAATATTATTAATAAGTTATTATTGCCCTTAAAATAATATAAGAGCTTATATGATTAAGAAACAACAAGGATCTTAATAAAAATAAGCACTTTTAAATAATAGCTTACAAAACTTGGTAACAATTTTCCCTCTGTGTACCGCTTCCCTATTTTGCGCTCATTTATTTGCTGGAACATAAGCGGCAGCACTATGAAATGCCGGCGGTGGTTGTTGCCCATTTTGGTAACTGGTAACTACCAAAAGCGACGGTAACAGCAACAAAGGACGACCGCTTGCAAAAAGCAGCAAAATGGAAAAAATTAAACAAAGATATGCACCATTTCCCGTTTTCCCTTTAGTTGATGCGCGAGGGCAAACAGAATTTCATCATAGAGCTCAAAAGTATATGTACGGATATTGGCAAAAATATATATCTACAGTATTCAATAAAAAGAGGAAACAAATATGAGATGACA